GAATGCCGGCAAGCTTGTAACTGCTGTTCTGGAACAGGGCACAAGGAGAGAAAAGCTTAGTTTCTTTTCAGCTGGAGGTACAGATTACAGCCAACAGAATTCCCATGTGGAAAGAGAAGACAGGGGAGGAAAAGGAAGGACACAACCTCAGAGAAAAGTAAACTGCCTGCTAAAATAGTTTAGGAAAACCTGACAAGCAGAGGCCCTGGCAGGGTGGCCCAGCAAGAACTCCTCTCCATCAGCATTTCTAGTGGTCTGGAGCGTTGGGAGGCAGAGGCTCGCTCCCGGGGGAGCCGACTGCAGCGTTTCTGTCGCAGCCCTTTCTGCCAGTCCTCCCGCACCCACAGCGCCACGGGGCTCCTCTTCCGTGCGAGCAGCGAGCCCAGCCGAGCTCCTTCACTGCACGTACACTCTTGAGGCAGTCACTTCTTCCGTAAACAGTTTCTACCCCAGTTTTCAGTCATCCAGCTCAGACAATTTGCTATATGGCTTGTGGGCAGCTCAGGCTTTCCAAGAGAGAAATTATAAGCCCTCTGCCTCAGTGATCATGCTCATTCAAAGGTCGCTCAATCCTGTGGTGATTTGCATGACCTATAACATCTTATCAGCAGCGTGACATCAGATTTCCTTCCTCTGCTGAATGCACGGCACACTAATCTGGCAGAGTTGAACTCATGCTCTTCTTCGTGAGCTGTGTATTTAGCTGTACAGGTATGGTTTACTTACTACTATTGAGCAAGTGGCTATTTCTAGGGTAACGACAGTGATTATCCATTGTGCTGTACTCACTTCCTTGATAAAAGGTTCCTGGGGAATCACCTCTGTGCTAGCAAATACATCAGCATAAAGCTACTCACGATTAAAATACGCAACAGGAGTAACTGACATTTAATTCAATGCAAATCACGACAGGCCCTTTCCCTTTTCCCAAGAAAGGGGAATCTGCAAGGTTAAAGATTGCTATAATACTCATAAAATATCATGTTTTTTCATGACCCAAAATTATACAATTTCAGGTTCGATCATTTTTTTCAGTTCTTTCATTTCTTTCTGCATAGTAAGGTAAAATATCACATAAACTCAAATTAATGATACCTTTTTAAATGTCATAAGTCATACTCAATAAACTTTAGGAGATCAATTAGGAACCCGTGTTTTTTTTAAAAGCCAGAGTTAAAAAATGGCTTTACAAGAAGTGGAATCAAAATATCTAGCTTTCACAAAATAGAGTAGAACGGGCAGATTATCAAATATGCATTAACATATTCATACGCATTGGCAGCTTAACATGTGAAACTTCAGTGATCTGTTTCTAAAGAAAACTCATCACTGATGCAGCTCTGCTTGCCTCCCCAGAAGTTAGGGGCAGGGAGCCAAACAAAATAGAGAAGATGATCAGAAGCAGGGAGACTTCTTATCAAAAGCACAGTTTCCAAACTGGACAACTATACATTACGAACACAGTGGAAAAAAACCCCACCCTTGAGATATGAAAGAATATCCAGTGAATGCTCATTTAACAGAAGAAAGTTCTCTAGCAGCCACATATTTTCTGTAATTTCATCTTTCTGCCATCAAGTACGGCTACACTAACAAACGGTGTTTACACAAGGAAAACTGCCGCTGCCTGAAAAATTTCAGAAATTTCATCTATTCTCTTAGTCTTCTACATTCCCTCAATCTCACAGCAAAATCATTTCCTAGCATTTCATACACAAAGCTCACGCCAGCCACTTTAATTTTCAAATGTTCACACTTTAAGCTTTGTCAGTGAAAAAAAACATTAACAATTCAGAACTAAGTGGTTTTAATATTTGATGTTTTGTCTGGAATGCAGCAGGCCGTGACTGTCATTTATTCCCTGTGCTCACATAAATCAGATTTAAAACATGCACCTGAAAATAGAATTTCATCAGTACATTTCAAGCTTTTGCCACTAACTGGCACGACAACTTCTTACACAAGTGGTTCATTTTAAAAAGTTTTTTTAGTATGGAATTTGCAGGATTCTGCAGCCTCCACGAGCTAATTCCACCTTTGATCCAATTTCGATGAATGTGATGTAGCTACGAGAAGGATGATTTTGCCCATTGACTCAGTGAAAGCAACTGTATCATCAAAAACTGAGGAGAAGCTGGAGTTACTAGACAACGCTTTTGAATTTTCCCAAAGACAGTGTTTATTCTGATTTATTGCAGTGCTTGCAGCAGTTCCTCAAAACAGCAACATAAGTTTCAGATGTATTCAAAGTTGGAGATTTCACAAAGTTAACACTATTTTTACAAGAAAAAAAATCTTTTTTTTGTAGTAGCATCTTCTGAGCTCGGAAACTGCCAGAGCTCTTTTCAGAGGTTCATTCTGTCTCACAATCTAATAAAGAGCAGCTGAAGCACGAGCTTTGAAGGCAAGTCTGAGAATCACTTCTCCATATAGTTACACTTCATAATTTAAACATGCGAAGCCAAAGGTTTATGAAACATTGCACCAAACAAGACATAAAACTCCACTCATTTATCTACAAGAAGCACACACTAGAAACCCATTCAGGTTTGTTAAATCAGGTGCAGAAAAGGGTTCCGAAATGTATACCCTTTGTCACCTCTTTGAGATTCAAGGAACGTTATCTTTCCAGACACCTCCAAAGTAACATTGTTCTTTTTTTTTTCTGCTTGCAGATACAGCTATCAATTTTCATTCAAAATGTACTATACAGCAAAGAAAGGAGGAAACAATGGCTCTCTAAGCTATTGGAAAGCCTTGCCCTGCTATGCATGCATGCCTTCAGGAATGAAAGTCAGGGTGCGGCCCCACCCATATGAAAAGAACTTCCTATAGCATTAGAAAAGGAAAAAAAAAAACCAAAAAAACAAACAAAACCCCCCACCAAAACAAAAACCACACCACTTTAAGGTACAGCAAATAACAGTATCTGAAACAACTCTTCTGAAAAATAGTCATGAAAAAGGAAAGTGCACCCTTTCTACAGGTATCTTCAAATCAGCTTTGGAATTTCTCCATAGTTATTGAGTTCTCTTTTAGTTTCCGTGGCGCGGCCAAGAAAAAGACATTGCAAAAACTTGTAACTGTATGTTCAGTTCCCAGGATTTACTCCTAAAAGAGCAGGATTCTCTGTTGCTGATACACCACTATCGCCGAACTCCACCCAGTCAGAGCTGCAACTAACCTGAAAGTGCAGCCTGAGGAGAACAAATTGCTTGCAGCTCGTTCATCCTCTTCTTATCAATGGTATTCACAACCCAGAGGGTCTATTCATGTATTATGAATGAATAGGTTTCCAATGGCAACGTTTCCAAAGGAACAGTTAGGCCTCAAGAGCCCATAAGAAAGGGTGGGGAACCTCAATAATGTTGCTTCAAGGAATGGGGGAGCTGGGGTTTAAAAGTCCTTAAAACAGATATAGTGTCCGTCCACAGTCTTTAGGAATAAAGAACACTTCAAGCCATTTCTAGCAGCAGCCCCAAAATTAGCTGATACAGAAGACACCGAGCAAATTAATAATCGTAACCACCACACAGTCCACTTGTGTAAAAGGCTTGATAAGCTAAATTTGCATTCTTTTCTCTCCCACTCTTGCAATCAGCTTGGTGCCTTGTTTAAAACACAGCCACCCTCTTCATTCTACAGCATGCAGAAGCATAATGAACAACCGGGGGCCAAAACAGAAGGAGCAACCCAGCAGCAGCCACCAGGAATAAAACTGAGCAAACTTGAGCATTTTAGACCTACCCATCTTTGTAGAAAAATAGCTTAATCAGTGCAGTGCTGAGGATAAAATCCTTGCAGAGACGGAGCTGCAGTTCCGCAGTAATCCAAACGAACAAACCATCATCTGTCAGTATTTCAAGCCTCACACGTAAAACTGTTTAAGAATCCCTATCACAGCACAGTAATTATTAGACGCACGAAGGATTTTGTGCTCTAAGGAATGACGCTCCATTCCACGAAGAGGACAGGTGGAAAGAAAAATGGAAGAATAAGAGGAGGCCCAGTGAAGTCGTCATGAATTTTTTTTCCCCCCCAGGGTCATTTACAAGTGGGAGACCCCTTCAGGATTCAAACCAATCAATCTTTATTTAGCACATCTTTTTCTCACTCAGCCCGTGTAGAAAGACTGCAGCAAATGGTGCAAGGGATTGTGGGATAGGGATGCAGCAGAGAGCTGCAACGAGATTCGCTGGGTTATTTTTTTTCCTCCCTACTCAGCAATCAGCTGTTTCGAGGCTCCGCGCAGGGCCATTGAATTTGGTCACCAGAATGTTATTACAGGATTAGCAGGCGGAGACAGCTACCACTGTGCATCTGGCATGTCAATGCAGCTAAGAAATACATATGCAAATATTACAAATCAGAAAAAGGATTTAACTCTGAAGGGGAGAATAAATAGAATGCAACATCCATTAATAGGAAAGTCACCACAGATGAAATGAAAGCACTTTCGTTTATAGAGAAAGCTTAACACTTAATGATTCCACCCTGATTTGTCCCAGATTTAGAGTGTTTCTTGGAACATAATTCTTCCCTGCTCCAACTTTCCAGCAACAACAAAAGACCCCACAAACGCTCTTTGTCTTTCCAGATGTTTAAAACAGAAGCAAAGAACCTCTTTAGAAAGCTCTGTTACTGACACACAAACCAGCAGCAGTTTCTTCTACTAGAGCTGCGTATTTGACCTCAGACTCAAGTTAAATATTTAAGGTGGCAATTAGTAAACTCATATTCAAGGAATGCGAGAATCAAAGCTAACAGTCTGTTCAACCCATATACAAACATTAATGCAAAGGTGCAGTCTCTTAGTTAATCTGTTTACTTTTTAAAAAAAAAATTAAAAGTCACAGATCAATTCAGATTTTACTAGGTTATTATCAAAGAAAATAAAAAGAAAATTGGCGTCTGGTATTTTTCAGTTATGCAGAGAAGGTTGTTAAAAGATGCTTGTGAATACATAGACACAAATGAAGTAAAGTAACATAATATTAGCTTTGTTTTCCAGTACAACAGCTGGTGGATTTTGCAGACAAGGTAGTATTTGCATCTCTAAATACACTGTATCTTTTCTTTTGAAAAAACCAAATCATATGCAAGTATTTCAGCTAACAGAGGCTAACAAAGCTTCCCACAAATAAAAGGGCACAAAGGTCCATTTGCATCCAGAAGAAAAAATGTGGGGTTTAAATACTGTCTGTGCTACTCTGACTTTATGAGGACAGATATAGTTAGTTTAGAAGCTTAAAATGTCCTAAATTCTTTAAGCACAGTTTCCAGAATATAATATTTATTCTATTCTTGGACTGATGAGGTAAAAAGTATTAATAATCATTTAGCATGACTGAAATGAAATCTAAATTCCTATTAAAAATATAGATTCTGCGTACATCATTTACTTTCCATATTGGTTTTATGCATCAGGCAGATAGCCTGGTTTCCCTGGGTAATGCCCACAGGGCAAAAGCATGTTGTAATCCAGTTTATAACTTGAAATGAAACATCAGGCAGTGTGTGTGCATGTATTAGGATTTTGGGTGCCAAAATATAGCTCCTCTGATTCCTTTAACGTGTTGAACTCTGTCAAATTGAAAGAACAAGGTATGTTGCATTTTAGCTTCAGCATTCAGCAGATGCGAAGAAGCAGGCTCTTGCACAGCAGGATTCACAGTTTAAAAAAAGGCCAGAAATTTTCAGCACATTTTTGGAGTGGTGGTTTCTCATGTTTGGTCAAGGTTCGTTTTCTTTCCAAACTGTCTAGAGAATCCCCACTGCAAAGAGCAAGCAATGTATTTCACTCTCACAACAAGGAGATCCAAGGCCTTTTACTTGTGCCAATGGAACAAAGACACACTTAAAGCAAAAATCAAGAGAGAAAATTCAGAACCAGGGTGGAAAACACACGTTCAGAAGCATGCAGACATCACTTAGCTGCTTGCTTTTCCTTGCTCATTTCAAGCATCAAATGTACGTTCACTAAACCAGAATGACAAGTATTGCCCACGATACTGTTTCCATTTGCTGTCAGTAGTAAGGACCGCATACCATACCCCTTGAATCGGAACCAATCCCACAACATACCTCATGGCCAAAGGAAACTGCGGGAGACACAGCTGCAGCCACTCTCACCAGGATCTACACTACCAAATGAGAAATTGCTTTAAAGCGCTGTTCTCTCACAAGGAACTCTGAAAAGCTTCCTGCAGACAATGAGCTGATATTCTGCAAATAATCCTACTTCTTCAAAAAAACATAAATGTGGTACCGAGGCAAGGAAAATGAAACAAAAAGTCACAGCGTTTCCCTTGAGATTTTTGTTCTTACATGCTGAACGGTGATATGTGGGTTCTTTCTCCCTTAGTGAAGAGGAAATGGATTCGTAGCTCAGTGAACAATCGTGCACTTTACCCCCACAGCAGTTAGTACCAGCCTGTTTCAAATAGGTTTATTGTATGTGTTTCTTTTGAGGTAGGAGATGGGAGTGTGGGTTATGTGCTTGGTTTTGTTGTTTTTTGGTTTTTAGAAAAAATAAACAGGCTAGTTTCCCTCAGAAATTTGCAGCACTCATCATTACTGCTGACATATGTATCTTGCTGACTAGTGAAGTAAGTTCTGGGGAAGAAAATACACAGCACATGCCAGCTTTGTAGTGCCATGGAAGAGTGATTTAGCCCCTGTTATCATCCCCTATAAATGACAGGGGTTTTGAATATTTTATTCTTTTCCCTGTTCCAAACACAACCTGAACTCATATTCTTAGGGAGCCCATAAAGCGTAAGTTACCAAAAAAAAACCCACAGCTAATTTACAGACCATATCTAGATAGTGACATATCCTTCCCTAATATACAACAAGCCATCCAAACACTCCAGGTTAAGATTAATGGTCTGTACTGAAGCCTGTACTATGAATTGACTGAAGCAAGAGTAGTCTAACTTAGCCTGATGTACATGACAGATTTTAAGATCAGCAGAAAAAAAAAACCAACTTGGTTAACCCAGACTAAATGCTCAGCTAATATAGTCCTGGCAATTAAGACGGACTGGAAAATAAGATGTGGGAAAGACCAGAAATCAACTTCCCAAAGTCAATATGCTGGGAAGGAGGACTAGTTTGGGAACACAAATACAGGAGAGGATGAGCTGTTACAGCCATCACTCAGCTCCATATCCTTAATTTGACCCTGGCACCAGAAAAGCAAGTGGGGTGAAACAACTAAGTTTTGTTGTTATGGGACCATGCCGACATCAGAAATCAAGAGGCCTTAGTGATCCTCAGAAGACAGCAGTGGTGGAGGCACCTTTACCTTTCCCCACGGTGGCTGTGCACCCATGCAGAGCCGGCAGCTCCTGCACAGGAACTCTAACTTCCAGCCTTGACTCCACAGTCTCCAGTAGCCCAGGCTGTAGCTCACATGGGCTGGCAAGAGCCACAGCTTCTTCCCACTGTGGGCTTGTAGCCAGAGGGCACGTCTGGCCTGACATGAGCTCTGCTGGGTCCTGTTTCCACGCCACCAGCCACAGCCTGCAGCCATGATCACTCCCCCATCTTGTGATCCAGCGGAAGAGATGCGCTTCCCCAAGGCTTGTGACCAAACACGTGGCTTGTCATAGCCTGGGAGGCAAAGAACTTGAAAGGTTTGCCTGGGATGTAATGCTGAGCTGCTGGAGACCTTCTAAGCTCCCCCGCACCCATCCTCCTATGCCTCTTCCACCTTATTCTATTTCCTTCTACCTTCTGCTTATGCCTATTTCAGCTTGCTGATGTGGCAGCACAACTGGAGCCAGGCTGGGACAGCCTGGCCTCCCTGCTCAGCCAGCCCAAGCTTGGCTGATGTGACCGTATTCCCTCCCTGTCTCCCGCACTAATACTGCAAGTCAAGCAGCACCAAACACAAACTGCTTTTCTCCCATCTGTGTTTCTCTGTCCCCTTTCATGTCCTTGTCACTGAGGTGGCAGGACCAGGCACCACAGTCATCAGAAACAAGCTCTGCGTTCAGGCCTTTCTTTTGCACAGCAATGGACTCACCTGCAGTACCACTGTCAGATGGTGATATCATGAATTAGGTTTCTTTCAAAATCTTTCAACTGCTAAAGGCAAGGGAATAACAGGAATATAAGCCACTGCTATAAATTAAAGCCTTGCTTAATAGTTTTACATGTTTAATGCTCTGTTGCTTTTTCCTCCTTCCTTTCCTCAATCTGTAATCAAAGCTTATAATAGGGTGAACACTGAAACACATAGATGGGCCTCTTATAGTCCAATTTGTATAGAAGAGTTATGGCTGGTATGTAACATCATTTTTCTACTCTCTTCCCAGCCTCACAACTTCTCTGCAGTAGCCCTTCTCCACCACCCTTTGGTGGTGCAATAGTTCTGCTTCCATACCCATGTCCCAGCTGTCCTGATCAAGTGGGGACCTGCTGTGGCTTCCCTGCATCCCTGCACACACCAAGGGACAAGCCTGGCAGGTTAGAGCTCATGTGATCACACAGTTGTCACTCATCTAAGATACAATACCTACTTTAAGGCTATTTGTCTGCTTTCAGGACCTCATTTTGGGTCACAGCCTTGCACCATAAGTTCCAACACACTCGGAGAACACTGGATTTACTGCACTTGCAAGGACACTTTGAGTGCTTTCAAGTGGAAGTCCACGAATCCCCAACCAAAAGGCCACTGAGATTTCAGAGCAAAGAGGTAGGAAATTAAGGGAAAATGGCATGCTAAGGGAAATGATAGGATTAAACTGTCACATATCAGGTAAAATGACAGTCTCAGAGCTGTCATTTAGCTGCCATCTCCATGTTTAATAGAATGCTGTATTCTTGGGTGTACAATTAAAAAAAAAATCTACAGTAATGTAGGTCCAACTAATTATTTCAGGGGCTAGATGTTGTGCAGGCCTAAGCAAGAGGATTTAAAATTGTACACTTGCCATCCAAAGCAGCATTCAGAGCATCTATACAACCCCCCCCACTCTGATTCTCTACCTAGTGCTGTTAACATCACCCTTACAATTGCACATTTTTGACTTTCTGGACCTACCTATTTTGTTAATGCTGAC